AACCGCAACCGAACCGAACCGAACCGTTGCATTTATTTTGGTGGATGCGAGCCCCTGGAGATTGGTGCCATCATGATGGCACATCCGAAACTGATATAACCCGGTCCAAGGCAGGGAGTAAACGCAATTCAGACTGGAGCTGAACGCAACTCAAGTTCTGCTCACCAATTGCCACTGAGCCGTGAACCTAACAGTGTGAAGCCAACACCGATCATGTAGTACTTGTAGTCCTGTCTGGACATTCTCCAAACCTCTTTGACCGCAAAGGCTGTTCCAAGATCTTTCTCGAAGTCATAGGACTTGGCGAGCTTCAGGCAGCGATCTTCATCTGTTTTACCTGCACCATGCTTCGCTCGCAATGACCTCTGCAAGCGAGCCTGCCAAAAAGCCTTGGGCTTGGTCATCGGCATCCGGTTCCTGCCCACCACATGGAATTTTTTGTCAGTTACAGCTGACAGATCGCTGACGATCACAACCGTTTCAAAGAACGCGGGTCACTCTCGTATCCCAGCGGCGCTGCCTTGGAGGACGGCGCTTCCAGGAGTTCCTGGGCCGCGCCATGTGCCGCAGGTGCCGGAGCAGGTGCCTCATGTTTCGGATGGCAGGAGAACCCGAAAAAGATTCACTGTGTTCCACCTGGGCCGGCAAAACGGCGGTGGTCTCCTCCTTCTCCGCAGGCGGCACGTCTGCATCCTGCGAAGCATGCAGGATGATGCAGGAGCGAGGGCGGGTACTCGTGCAACTACATCACGTGTCGGGTGGCCTTCGATGCGGACATTTGCAGGCTCAATAGCTTGTCATAAGCGCCTTTCTTGGACATCAACTCCTGTCAAGCCGTGTCTCTGCTGCACATAGCCTTCCCACTTCGCAGCGTGAAGTGATGTCCTCGTGCGTTCCTTGCTCCACGACTTTCCCCTTGTCCAGCACACAGATCTGGTGTGCGTTGCGGACAGTGGACAAGCGGTGTGCGATCACCTCAATGCGTGCAGGAGCATTTCGGAACATCGTGTTGAGCACAAGAAGCAGGGGTTCGAAGCCAAGCTGCGATTGTTGTTCGTCCACCCTGATCCAATAGATCGTCCAGCGCCTTCTGGACGGCTCGCTCTGATGCCGAGTCCAGCGCACTGGTCGCCTGTGCGAGGACTCTGGTCCCATCTCCGCGACGAATTACATCAAGAAGGGGTTACTTGCACAAGGCCCAACGAGGCCTCGTCCAGCAGCAACACAGCCTTGCAAGTTCTTTGACGCTGAGAGATGCATGCTGACTCCATTGTTGGCTGGAATCAACAAGGTCCAATCGCATGCAGCCGCAGCACAGGCTTCCGGATCAAAGCACGGGCGATGGCCAATCGCTGCTTCTGGCCGCCGCTTAGCTGTGCCCCAGCTTCACCCACCTCGGGAACATGCGTGACTCTGCCTCGCACGACCTGCCGCACTTACGAGTAATTAGCAGGCAAGCTGCCATGGTCTGATAACCTCGAGGAAATGTAGAAATGAAGTCGTGGGCGCTCGCCTAGGAAAACATGAAGGGGTGCATCCACATGACCGCAGTCTATTGGCAAATGCTCTTTGCTGCATGTGTTTCCTGGCGACTGCGGTCACTCTCAGATGCTGGCCAGAATTGCTGCCTGGCACAGGGGAGTGATGCAAGGCAAACTCTACTGCTTTCGCATTGCGAAGCTTTCCACAAAAGGGGGCAGAGAAAACTCATGCATGGCTGTGGCAGATTTCTGGAAATTTCTGCGAAAGGGAAGAGGAAGGCAAATAATGAGCAAGTCAACATCAGACGACATGCATGCGGCGCTTGCAGCATGCTGGACAACAGCTGCAATCATACGAAGCTCTTGTGGAATTGCCTGCTCTACGTCAGCTTTCGTGACGGAGTTGGCACTGCCGGCTGCGATGTTCTCGTAAATTGTATCTTGGAAGAGGACAGGCTCCTCGTCTTACCATTGCCATTCCATGCTGCGCAGGATCTCACACTAAGCTCAGTCCTGTTCGACGAGCGCGAGTTTGGACCGGAACCATTGGAGTTCCAATGTGCGCACATCAGTGCCTGGACAGCCGCGTGACGGTGTAACGGGTCTTGGAATCCTGGAATCCACGAGAAACTGCGCCGGCCAAGGCACCGTCAAGGCAAACCGTTCCAGTCTTCGGCTCGTAGAAACGCAGCAGCAGGCCGACGAGCGTACTCCTTGATGTTCAAGCTGCTACTTACAGCAGTCTTCCAAGTAGTTCTAAAAAAAAAGAAGCTAGAAGCTGCGGCCATCATAATGCTTCAAAGCCGATCTGTGACATCAAACTGTGGCCCGCAAACGACAAACAGCGAGAATACAAACGAACAAACTCTTGGGATGCACCAGCCAAATTTGGGATGCACGGTTGGTCAGATTTCAAACGGACTTCAATGTAGTTGTTCACCGTCTACTTACGCACTAGGGCCTTAGGTGCTCTTGCAACATGCCCAGTGCACAACTTTCTGTCTCTTGATGCCAACCCTGCAAAGCGGCATTGTGACACTCTCGTGACACATTCGTGTAACAGCACCAACACAATTAACAAGGGGTCCCCAGTCGCCAAAAAACATATAGGCGAGGCTTCCTATCTTAAACCATAGCTGCCATAGCTGGAAAGAATGGGGAACATCAGGGCATCTCAGTCGATGCACTTCTAATGATGCTAGGATATGCTCCCCCCCCCCCCCTCCCGCCCTCCCTTCCCGCTTCTTGGGACTCCCGGCTTCCCCGAACCGCTGCCGCCCACGAAGGCAGTGGTACAGTTGGCCTTGATCTCCAATGTCACGCCCTTCAGAACCAAGGACTCCTTGGCTTCGCATTCCAATGTCTTCGGCGTGATACGTTCGAGTCAGACATGGTACCAGTAACTATCAAATGATGCGTTGTTGCTTTCGATGTGGCAGCTGACGGAAACTCAAGTGAAAGATCTACTGCTCAACAACCTGGAGTCCGTGCGCTTTGGGTAGGCGAAAAATACGTCGGAGAAGATGATCTCACCCTCCACGTGGGGAAGAATCTTGCCACCGCCTCAGTTGTGCAATTCTGTCAGAGAGCGTATCGAGACCATGTCAGATCCATGGACCCTACCTTGCTCGCCTGCCTGCAGAAGCCCAGGCCAGCCATTTATGCTTTCGTTTGTGCAGAGTTACAAAAATGCCCTGCGCGATTCACCTTGCAACCTGCAGAAGTCCAGAGTCGATGCTAGGCCCGCTGAGGCCCCGACTTGTAGCACTGAGTGGTTCATCCAGAATTGTGCCAATTCGGTGCATTGCAGCTCGTGCATTTGCAAAAGCCACGAAGCACATGTTCATGGTGCCCAAGCCCATCGTAAATCCCCAGATGATCGTGTACCTCGAATGCTGCAGCTCTACCTGAACGTCGCCGCTAGAGCCGCTAGAGTTGCTCGGTGCGCAACATTTATGATCAATTCATGCTCCGCTGCATAGCTGACATTATCGTGCCACCCGTCCGACAATTTCCAAATGGCGGTGATGCGCGCCAGCAGTCCTTCGCTGAAGGGGGGGGGGGGTGCTATAGAACCTAACCCTCCTAGGCCCTCACTGCCCTCATCTTCGACAGACCGAGTCGGAGACGGCTTCGTAGTCTTGCAGCACCCATTGGGAACCGAAGTACACGCCCAGGGACATCCCCGTAATAAGCACCTGAGCTGCAGCACGGCGAGATGTACCTTCCTCTCAGGACGACCCCGAGGAATCTGTCTAAATCCGCCGGAGGAACCGTGTTGACAAGGCCAGTGGCATAGCCGGCAACAACTCCAATCCTGGGCCAAAGCACAATGACCATCGACAGCCTTGCACGGAAATACTTCCTCCGAGGCGTACTGAGCCTCCGTCTGGATGGCATTGATGTGCGCCTCGTCTACATGCCCATTGAAGGCTTCCAGCTCCAGTCGCTGGCCATTGAAGGCCGTCACTGTCTTGATCAGTTCAGTAGCAGTTACCTCAGCTCTGTCGTGCCACATCGGGATCAGTTCCTGTGCTCGGGTGCATTCGATGCATACCTAAACTTTGCCCAGACACCGCCACCTGACCGGCCTTGGCATAGCAGGCCTCGACCACGGTAGAGAAGTTCCGCACCACTTCGACAGACAAAGCCATGCACATTCCTGCAATGGGCATGATGATGGCCATGAGAATGCTGACCTTCCAGTCGCGACTGCAAGCAAGAACCTCAGCCCGAGCGAGCTGAACGAGCGGAACTACCCGAGGCTGCGCAGTCAAAACCCAAACATGGCTGCGGCTGTGGAACTGTAGCAGACACGGCCATGAAGCAGGCTCGAGTGAAATCGACGAGTCGCTCCCCGATGCCATCCCGGAAGAGGTGCGTGTCTTGCACAAGCTGTGGAGCCAGCTCGGAGGCATTGTGCATGTCGTGCCAGCTGGGACCTTGCATCAAAATCTGATAGAAATACTGTCGTCGTGCTGCCACCACCTGTCGATCAGCTGCCTTGATGATCAAATAACATCCGCCAGTTCTTGCGACTAAGACCACGAGCGCGAGCAGCACATAAGTCATGCCGACCTCTGCTACCTTGGAGTCTCGGATGGTGTGCGGCGCATGGACAGGTGGCAGGGAACCATCGTCGTTCGGCATGTACACCGCTTGATACAGGTCGGACAGGAAGAAGAAGGCCATAGGCATGCAAGCACCATGCACGGCGCCCAAAACCATGGCAAGCGTAGTGCATATCAAATCCTTGCTGGTTACATTACAAACAAACACGCGCACACACACACACACAGAGAGACAGATAGACTCGTCTGCACCCTTGGCTTCAGCTCGGTGGCCCATGTGCGAGCGAAGCGGAAGAGTGCATTGAAGGAAGCTCTCACCTTTACATTTTTGTCGGTGACGGTTTGATCGGCTCAACAAGCTCAAGCACTCAAGGCATGGCCTCCTCTTCTTTCTTCGGTTCCATCGACTCGTCGCCACTGGACACGGACATCGCATAGTCGTCGATGGCGCTGGTGCTACCTAGCACGTGCAGAATGTTTCGCATGCAAGATCATGCAAGACACCGCCGAGATTCAAATCTGCCAGCAAGCTGCCGGGTGTAGTGGCATTCTCGTCAACTCTATCTTCAAAGCCTGTCTCCAGGTTCTCACCTCAGCAACATTGACATCTTGATAAACGTTGACGAGCATCCAGGAGTTAGACCGACTCACGCCAAGTAGCTCAGGGGTGGTGTTGCTGTCGAGGTCGTATCCAGGCCGGGTGACAAGTTTCCAGGCAGTCCGACCTGCGATTGTTCTGAGAGCACATTCGTCCAAATTGCCTTGAAAAGTCGACGGCTTGGGCCTGGTCATCCTTGGCCGGGCCGAATGTACGGTGGAAGAAGTTCAAAGAGACCAGGGCGAGGATAAGAATAGACCCCCCGGTAATCGGAAGCGCCAGGGAGGCCCTAGCATACTCCACTTCGTTTTCCTCTAGCCAGGAATAGCCCGGCTGGACATCAAAAGGGTCGGACTTCTGGGCTCTCAGCGCTTTCAGCGCCGCTTGGCGGAGGAGCTTGAGAACCCCCCGGCCCATCGCGTTCTGGTTCTTTCTCTCAGCTTCAGTTGCTACAGCCAGCACCACGCCCTTGAAGAGCTTGTCAATTTGCGTGTCGTTGAGGTTCAAGTCCTCAATTAGCTGCAGCATATGCGGCTCAGGAAGCAATCAAGCATGACTCATGCGATGTAACAATGTATGAGCCAGGAGTCATTGAACATCAAGTGCCTTAGGCGAGTGTATAGGGTGCAAGGGGTGTAACGGCAAGGGAAAGATCGAGGGCACGAGTGACATCACGATTCGAGCAGTAACACTGTGACCGATGCTGTCAAGCTTCTCAAGAGCCCGCAAGGCTTCATTGCCATTGGTCTTTAAGTCAGTGGTCATCGAGTCGCTGGACATTGACAACGACGAATTCGACTTCTCGTTTGCAGCGTCGGCTTTTTCTATCAGGGAGGCGGCAAAGATGGACCTGTCTTCCTCGTTCAGCTTCGATTCCTGAGATCGCTCCTGAAGAAGGCTTGTGTGCCACGGGACTGGACTGACTAGGCAATGCGGTGCCGGTGGATGCACTGACGGCACGTGCCAACCCCGTCCTTGGCACTTCTTGCATGGACGGCAGCTTGCAAAGCACCAAGACCACATGCGTTAGATGCACCCCTGGAAAGGCGAAGACGAAGATACTCACACATCAAACAATTGCTCTAATTGTGAGGCCTATCGCAGCTGTCGTCAGCGGACAGCGCAGAGGACACTTGGACGTTCAGGGTCTTTTGCACATCTGCCTGCAGACACAGATAAGTTCCACAAACAACGACAAACGACCAAGAGCAGAGGCACAGGCATAGACCAAGGGGTGCAGACCCGTACGGCCTCTGCCAGAGGGGTGAGCGGCAAAGCGAGCAAAAGAATGGGATAGTGCCTCAGCACCTCGGACACTATGAGGAATGTGTGCGACGGCGCAAATCTGGCACGTCATGCCTGGTGAAGCACTGAGGAAGGCACGGATGTGAATGTCATAATGACCTTGGCAGCTGGGATGTCTGTAGTCACCCGAAACATGCCGCATCTTGACCAACGCAGGCTTTTGACTCTCACAGCTTGCATGGGGCAAAGGTTTAAGGTCAAGCCAAGATGCTGTTCGGATGTGACGGATATGAAGTTCTGTGCCGCAAGGGTTCCAGCAACAGACTTTCTCTGAGCCGGTGGCGTCAGCATGCTTAAGGCTCAAGCTTTTCCAGTGGGTTCAATCAAGAAACGCTCAACATCGCTTAAAGTCAAATGCGATGGATGCAGCAGCAATGGCTGACAACAGAGAAACCTCACGAGCAAAGAGTCTCCGAGATGCTACGTGTCAAGGTTGAGGCGTGTACAGGCATGTCAAGGTGTTTTAATAGCATTTTTAATGCACTTCGGCAAGGCATTTTTCATGTCAAGCATTGGCTTGATTCATCACGGGGGTCACCAGGGGCCCACTGGTATAGGCTTGAAGCCCTTACCAATTTGGATGAACAGCAGGTTGACCACTTTCTTTCAACCACTTGGAACGGAGGTGGCTTGGCAACAAGCGCTACGATAACGACGTGTTAGCCGCCAAGACTCCTGCTTAGGGCAGTGGCCCCTGCTTGGTCGTAGCGCAGACTGCGCCCGGCCCGACACACCGCCCGAAAACTCGGTGCCGGTGCCGGGGGTGCGCACTTCTGCGCCCGCCCGGCGCACCCACGCCCCACCAGGCGCCGGACCCTACCAATATGGCAAGATCAAGCAGTGTCTTTCCATGACAGGCGAACTCGTTGTCGATGAACGTTGTCGATGAAGGTGATCCAATGCTGGGGCAGACACCTGGCGAACGTGACGAGAGCCAAGACCTGGGCGATGACGCCGAAGTCGTAGAAGACCTGCCGTCGAAGCGGGACCGGCTCGCCGGGGGCTATGTGGCTAGCTCTTTTCCGCACGTCTGCATTTAGGACCGGGAAAGGATCTCCACCGGTAGGGCGCGAAGCTTCTCCATGAAGTCGACGGATGGAAGAGGCGGCCGCGCTCCTTGATGACCCGGACCCGCCCCCCTGGCGATCCGCGACCATACGACAATCGTCTTTGCGTTGGTGTCCACCTCCTTGACGAGGTCGGCGACGCCGTGAAATAGCCGCCCGGACCAGGGCCTTGCACGCCCGGTCGACCTCCCGAATTAGGCCAAAGCCGCCCGTCCGGGCGGTTCGGACTGAGGACGGCCTTGACGCTGGCAGCGGGTGCAGACGAGCCGGACGAAGCCATGATGCACTGCGAGGCGAAAGGCCGAGGGGAACAGACGAAAAACACAGCGATTGAGACAAGACGATCGCTAAAGCAGAGGCTTTGCAAGAGATGTGCTCACCCCTTTTTCAAATTTGTGTTCCGAGCCCCGGCACAGAAGCCCTAGCATCTATCGAAAAGCATGGACGCATGCGGCTCATCAGAGAGGATCGAACACGGCGCATTGCTTGCACAGACCTCATGGAACCAGCTAGAGAGGGTCTCCTGGTTCCAGTTCTGCACCTGCACATGGGTGGGTTTTCTAGAATCACAGCGACTCTGCAACCGTCGTGGCCGCGCAAGCCTTTCTGGGAGGTGGAGGTTCTCGTCTGGCGTAATTAGGGATCGCAGGGGCGCCTCCCAGAAACAGCCCAGCGACTTGATCCAGCTATGCCCAGCTGCGTGTCATCTTGCCTCCGAGCTGGCTTACCTTCTGACCCAAGCCGCTGGTCGCGAGATCATGGAGAACCAGTCTGGCCTGCAACGGTGGGGTTTGCTGTGTGGTGTCATGCGCATCTCGACGTCCATCCTCAAAGAGTTCTTGCGGATGTAGCCCGGGCCTTGGAAGCTTAATGCACTTGGGGTTCTCAGCCGAATGAATCTTGGAGCCGAGCACCCCTGGGGGCTGCAGCTCGGGCACCTTCTCAGACTTCTTCTGCTTTCTCAAAGAAGCGTTGCTCACATCATCTCAATCTCACGCCTTCAAGAGCGCCTCCTCCATATCCTCTACTAGGGTTTGTGCCTGCAAGCCGTGCCTCTTCATGTGCCGTTGACACAAAGCACAAGGTCGGCAGCGACGCCTGTGTGTTCTGTTGCATCAGCTGCTTCTCAATGACTGCCTGCCGCTCTCCCCTGGCATTGGCGCCTGCATCCATGTCAATCCGATACCCCACGTCTGACAAGGTACTGCAGGCTTTGGATTGACGGTCTGGGTCCACGACGTGCTTCCTTCCGGGCAAGTTTGGACTTCATCTTCCTGAGCTCTTTTTAAAGTACGTACAGCTCTATGGATGCTCCGCCATCGCACTGGAATGTAGCCAGCATGAATGCCCGAGACAGCACCAGCATTCTGCTTTTCAAGGCTCTCCTTCCTGACCCTCTCCTCCATGACAGAATTGAGCACCAAGTCATTGATTCACTGACTGCAAGCCGCTTCTTTGCCACGCCTTCTCAGCTTTGATGAGCCTGGCTTCCTCAGCAAGTCGCCCTGCCTTCTGCCGTTCCACCTCAAAGGGTCCGAAATACGGGCAAAGAGCTGCTCAAGACAAGTCAGGCTGTCCGAGTCCGTGCCTCGAACTGCCACTCCGCTGGGGGTGCTGAGATGCCTTTGTAGACCCTGCACTGCGGCAGCTTGTGTATCAATGGAACCCGCTACCCTTTGATCGCAGAGTTTCCGCAACGAATACGCCTGTTCATCGCCATGACCTTGAAAACCGCTGCCTGCACAAAGTTAAAGGCAACGCCAAGAGCTCTCTCCGCGCCGATGTTCCATCTGCCTTCATCTTTCGACTGGAGTGCGAGCGCCCAAGTGGTTTGTCTGAGCAAGATGTCAAGCATCATTCTCACGCAACAAGCCGCAGATTGGCACACGGCCCACACCTTGAGCAAACCGTCCTTCCACTCCGGCCGATTCCACTCCATACGCCTCGCCCCCACACGGATACCGAAACAGCCTACTGAGTACATAGCTATTAACCAGCCTCACGCCGGAGAACTTGACACATGCGTCAGTGCCATAAGCATAGCGCCTGGAACATGGTTTTGAACCAGTCGACGAACCATGCGTGCACGATGGCCAGTGAAGGTTCACCTCTCAGCCTTCGTGTCATCCCATCGGCTCTGCACCTTGACAAACGATGACACATGCACACGCCGCTCCGCTCAGGATTTCATCCAAGACGATCAGGGGCTGCGGCATATCCCGAGAGAGATTCTTGGGAGTCCTGCACACTGCAACATCCCCTGACTTTCAATTAGCATGAACCAGACCGGCCTGAGACTCTGCCTCTGAGAATTCGTCGGGCTCGTATGGTCTGTATCCCTGCACCTCAGAGTCCACGAAATCAGAAAGGCTTCGTGCACACTCGCTCGCAAAAGCCCAAAAGCAGAATCACATGTCGGGCAGCTGGGAGGCAGGCTTCGGCTGCACGAAAGGCGGACAAGTCGAAGTCACCGATCTGAGCAGCTCGGGAAGTTGGGGCTGGCGGGCCATTCTCAAAGGCTCAGCTTCGGCTCCGGATCTGGGCTCAAGGCTTCACCAGAGAAGCGCTTCAATGCAGGCCGGTGGCCCCAAGCTTTAGCTCCAACCGCCGTCGGCCCATCTGGCCTCCGCAGGAGCGCTTGGCAAGGGCAACAGGGCGAACGGGTGAAGCAGCGAGGGAAAGCGGAGCTGCGGCGGCTGCTGGCAGCTGGGCCTGTACTCGGCTTGAGCTCGAGCTCGAAGCGCCACCCTTGGCACTACGAAGAGCTGGTGAGCCGCTGTGAGCCCCTCTCTCTGCGCCTCAGACCCCGACGCCCAGGGCTCATGAAGCTGATAAGTAGGCGTAGGTGGAGGGATTTGACTAATTCGTGGCGACCTGCTTTTGATGCCACATGAATCACCGTTTGCACAGCGCTCTACAAAGCGACCAAGGGCCGAACGCCTTCGGCTTCGGAAGAGGCTTTGGTGGTGGGGGTTTTGCTCCTGGGGGGGGTCCTTTGGCTTTCGGCACCTGAAACAGGAGGAAGGAACACACACACACACATACATATACATATATATAATATAACACCAGAAGTTCATTGCATGACACTCCTGGTTCGTGATGCCGACATCACAGCTCACGAGGAAAAGCTTCAGACGCGCTATCCGTCACGAACCCCTGCGACAAGCAGCTCCTTTAGCAACATGAAACAGGCCCGCAGGGTCACGCATTGATCGAGGAAGTCTCCAACGGTGCCGCATGGTACCGAGTACTGAGTAGTGCCATGTCTTTCTGTACTTCCCGGCCAGCCGCAGTCCCCCACTAAACACCAGGGAATAATTCAGGCAACAGGCGGCAGTCTGAGCTCTCTAATTGCTGGAACAAGAGCGAGCAACTGGCACCAAGATGCACCAAGAAAAGCCGGAAGCAAAAAACAAACGAGTAGAGCATGGTCGTACATGCTCATAAGCTTGCACAACAAACCGCAAACCCCGACCCTCTGCGCTGCTACGGCTAGTGCGGCTAGTGAATCTTTAGCGACTCTTCGGCATTCTTCTTTCCGATAGCTTGCTAGGGCTACTAGGGCTGCTGCTAGGGTTACTTAGCCATTCCAGTATCGTTTCAGTAACCACAACAACGGCAAACGGCAACAACAGTGCAGTCACCACCGACCAGCTCAAGATGCATGCAAGACATTCAACCGGAGAAGCCAGGAAAGGGCAAACACAGGGCAAGCGTAAGACAGTCGACGACGCCGCCGCCAGCACCAGCACCAGCA